CCTTCTGCAGAAGCGGGGTGGACATCGTCCCGTGGAGACACACACAGCCAGGTGGGGACATAGAGGTGCTAAAACAACATTGAACTGGCAAACAACATCCAATTTTACCAACTTTATCATTATGTGAAATAAAGCAAACATTAACTGAAAAAAAAATGTTTAAAAAAAAACTCAAACTCAGTCTAAAATAATGTACTAACTAAAACTGAAATAAAAATGAATAAGCACTAGCAGACATGTTCACAAGTCTCTGTGGTCCAAGTCAAGTCTCAAGTCTTTAAGGTCGAGTCTAAGTCAAGTCTCAAGTCTTTAAAGTGGAGTCCAAGTCAAGTCTCAAGTCTTTAAGGTCAAATCTAAGGCAAGTCTCAAGTCTTTAAAGTGGAGTCCAAGTCAAGTCTCAAGTCTTTAAGGTCGAGTCTAAGCCAAGTCTCAAGTCTTTAAAGTGGAGTCCAAGTCAAGTCTCAAGTCTTTAAGGTCGAGTCTAAGCCAAGTCTCAAGTCTTTAAAGTGGAGTCCAAGTCAAGTCTCAAGTCTTTGTTCTATTTATTAGCAACAGTTCTTTCAGCTAGTTATTGAGGCTAAATCGGTTTTGAAATACTGATTTCACGATATGATTTTCTCAAAAAAATACTTTAACAAAATGTAAGACAAATTAGAAATGAAAAGTTGTCCATTTATTAATTGTCAGACAAAATGCTACACATTTCTTTGTAAAATTGAAATGTCAAACAACAAAACTAAATAGAAATTTGAAAACAAACCCCAATCAATCAAATGAATAACACAAATTAAATAAATCTCATATAAACAAACTAAGGCATGTCTGTGCTCTTTTTCAATTTAAAATTGTCAACCATAGTATTTTAAACACAACACAATCCTAACAAAGAGGCTGCATACATGCAGCATGAGCAGTTTTTAATCTACATTGGATTGTATAATTTCGAAATTTAAAGCAAAAACAAAATGTTCTGACTTTAGTTTTGTGAAAATATTCTACATAAAACATCTGCACGAAGCAAAACGGCAGACAGGCTGAATTAGAATGCAGATTCACTCTCTGCCAGCAGGTGGCGCTTGAACAGCAATTAAACATAATTTCCTTGGTTGCCGCTGTAAACAAAGCAGCGCTGCGGTTATGAACACTACTTTAATATGCATTATATAGAGACAAGATAAAAAGAAAATACCATCTAAAATTTTCTAAAGACAGCCAGTTCCCCTCAGAGACACATTCAAATAAACTCCCATACCAAATGACTTGCGTTTTTTAGGAGTCTCATGAGTCACAAGTCCAAGTCAAGTCTCGAGTCAGCTGTTCACGAGTCCAAGTCAAGTCCCAAGTCCTAACCCTAACCCTAAAAGGGCCTTTTGCACCGCGGAAACCTTTTCATAGTACCAGAACTAATTGTGGAACTACCCACTTTTTGGCGTTTTCGCACCGCCAGAACTGGGTGCGATTTTAGTACCGTACTGCCTTTTTCGAGAACCAAATTAGCTCCTACTCCGGAGCAGGGTCTAACCAGCACAACTGGTACTAATCGTGACGTAAGTAGACATTGATTGGCCAAACACGTACGAAAACGCCCTCACCCGCCATGATTTAAAACGCCGTGTAAACATTGTGTCAACTTATTTCGCAAGTATGGAGAACAGCGATAGATGGACGGACGCTGAAGTGCACTTGTAGCAAATGTAGCACTGCCAGTTGTCGTTGGAGATTCTTAGTCCTCCTTTCTTTCAATCGCTTTACGTATACGTCGACATTCCATGTCCATTATTGTGAAACCCGTGAGACACAACAAAAACAGCTCCGATCACAGCGTCCTCCATCCTCCTGTTGTTAATGTTGTTCTTCTTTGTTTCTGTTGTTGAACGCCGTGCACAAATGACGTCGCTGTCGACCGGCTTACGTCACTTCTTAGTACACACTGTCGGTGCGAATGCAACCCTTTAAATGGTACTGGGAAATATTTTGCGCAAAATCGTCCCAGTACTTTAGTACTGTATATTTAGTTCTAGAACTAAAGGGGTGCGAAAGGCTTATTATGCGACTTAAAGTTTTTTGGGTGTTAGTATCAATATGTTAGACTTAAGGTTATCTATAAGGCAGTGTGCTCCAAAACAGTGACAAAATTAGCATTTAGAAGATATAACTTAGTCCTCCTTTCTTTCAATCGCTTTACGTATACGTCGACATTCCATGTCCATTATTGTGAAACCCGTGAGACACAACAAAAACAGCTCCGATCACAGCGTCCTCCATCCTCCTGTTGTTAATGTTGTTCTTCTTTGTTTCTGTTGTTGAACGCCGTGCACAAATGACGTCGCTGTCGACCGGCTTACGTCACTTCTTAGTACACACTGTCGGTGCGAATGCAACCCTTTAAATGGTACTGGGAAATATTTTGCGCAAAATCGTCCCAGTACTTTAGTACTGTATATTTAGTTCTAGAACTAAAGTGGTGCGAAAGGCTTATTATGCGACTTAAAGTTTTTTGGGTGTTAGTATCAATATGTTAGATTTAAGATTATCTATAAGGCAGTGTGCTCCAAAACAGTGACAAAATTTAGAAGATATAAGCGTTCAAAGCTTGCAGCTCGTCACTTCCACCAAAACGGCTCAACAATCTTTTTGACGTCACATCGTACTTCAACTTCTCATCAAACTTTCTGTCCAATCAAATGCTCTCTAGAATCCGAAACGCCCGCCCCCTACACTATAAAATAGACACTGAAGTCACGGCTGAAATCGGTCACTTGCCCACAGAATTAGTATTTTCTGTACAGTGAATGGCACGTAGTGCACTATATAGGGGACAGGGAACGATTCAAACAGTGTAAATATGCTTTCCATTGAGTTTGGCAAGCTGTGCTATAAAACGAACGCTATTGGCTATTTTAAAAAGGGGCGGGGCTGCTTGATATGTACCGCCCTGTCTTCCTGTTTCAGTTAAAATTACGTCAACACATAGAGTAACGCTGCGTGTTTCTAAGCATTTCAGGGGACCTTTAAGTGCAACTCGAGTCCAAGTCGCAGACTCGAGTTTCCATCTCTGAGTGCTAGTCATACCTAAACAATAACTCAAAATAAAAATTTTAATTATTAAAAAAAATTATATATAAAATAAACATTTATTTTAACATAGTTAACATATTGTAAAAGTATAAACACTAAACTTAAACATTATACTTAGATTAGTATGATAGGGACAATTAAAACGACTTTTTTTTTCTTATGGAACAATTAATGTAAGACTTTTAACAAAAATATGAGCTGCACATTTTTGCTTTTAAACCTTCTGAAATGCCCTGTTCCATATATACATTTATTATACAGTGTATATTAAATTGAGAAGGGAACGTAAATTATTGCCTGTTTTAATCGATAAAATGTAGCTTAAGTTGTTTTGAACCTGGAGCACAGAATTAAAAGGGCCTTATTTATTTATTTACTTATTTATAAATAACCACTTTCATTAAAAAATCTTTGAATTTCATATTCAGGAAAGCAATGGTGTTATAATTAACTAACATTAAAAATATTAAATTAAATTTCAATAAAAAAAAATTTAAAAACTAAGTAAAAAAACTGACTAAAAAATACAATTCCATAAAGCTAAATAGAGCTATTAAAAAAGACAAGCACATAACAAAACTACTAAAAATGTAATTAAAAATTAAAACTCAAATTATATAAAAAAGCTAATTAAAATTATTAATAAATACTATAACAGTATATAAGTAATACTAAAACAACACTGTAGTAAAATTTCCGATATATCTGCTTATGCAGCCCATTAAAATGCAACTGATGTATGCTGGATTTTACAGTTCAAAGATTATCAAGATGATGGTTTCTGCAGTGGCTTTTGGCTGCGCAGATTGATTTGTTCTGGCATGTGGGTAACAGTTTAATTTAGTAAATCTTTTTGAGAAATTACTTTAAGTAATATGTTGTCAGCACACATGAAATCTGCTAAATCAACATTAACACTGAATAGTCAAGAAAGAGTAACCATACACATAAATACCCAGTTAAATGTAACCACACAGATTTCCCAGTTTGTTGTTGCTGACTTTCATTGCACAAATACTTCATCTCCACACTTAATTACAACTGATATTACTACAGTCCAGCTGAAGTGAATTTTATTAGCATTTTTTTCAGTCTGCCAGTTTGCATTAGGCCACAATGTCTGGGCTTGCAGTAACATAACATTCCATTCCTGACAGTTAGCTAACAGATGACATCTACAGATCAGTGAGGTGAGTCAATATAACGCTCATGGCTGCTGAGTAAGTGTGCTTGGTATTCGCACACTCAGCACTCTCTCCTGTTGGGGTGTTGAGCATTTGATGTTCGCTCTCTTCCTCAACATACCTCTTTTTCAACCTCAAAGTCCTCCGGGTTTGTGTGTAGAATTTGTCATGGAAATCTGATGCAGATAATAACATAATGCAGATAATACAATATTCTTGTGCCCCCCCCCAGCTGAAAATGATCTCCAGCCAGTGGAGATGACTCTGGCTTTGGACACAGTGTCAGAGTCCAAGTCCAAATGGCAGAAGACAGAAGAAAAACGAGATTTGCCAAGCGAGGAGTGAGTGGAAGATGTTTGACTGCTAGGCTAAAGCAATCTAACACCTCAGATGACACAGAAGACTCTTCCACTTTCAGGTTTTGGGCGTTTTAAACTTGTGCACAACAGTCTAAATTCTATATGCTGTGCTGTAATCGAAGGATTCATTTGACTTATTTTATGTGGCAGTATAACGAAAGTTTTTGGGTAGTATGCTACAAAAAGAGGTTTTAATCTCATGCTTTTTTTGTATTTTGGAGTATTCAGCATGCATTTCATCAGGGACAGCTTTACCTATAAAATGTTAACTATATAAAGTGTATCATTATTACACTAATGTTCAATAGTTTTGGGTCAGTAAGTTATTTTTTTTTAATTAATTCTTTTAGCAAGTATGCATTTAAAATTATCAAAAAATGACAGTAAAATAGTTTGTTACAAAATATTTCAACTTCAAATAAATGCTGCTCTTTTAAACGTTCTATTCATCAAGAATCCTGAAAAAAGTATCATGGTTTCCACAAAAATATTAAGCAGCACGACTGATAAGAAATTTTCTAGAACAGCAAAGCAGCATATTAGAATGATTTCTGAAGGATCATGTGACATTGAAGACTGGCGTAATAATGCTAAAAATTCAGCTTTCAGCATCACAAGAATAACATTTTAAATTGTAATTAAATGTAATAGGAAACTATTTTAATATTGAACAATATTACTGTTTTTACTGTATTTTTTTTTTTATCAAAAAAGGCCTTTAAAAACCTTAAAAATGTTACAGACCCCAAACTTCTTAACAGTAGTGTATATTTTGATTTAATTTGCTGGTGCATAAAGGCAAGCATTACTGATGCAATGAAGAGTTCAAATAATCCAGAAATGATATAAACCCACTCTGCAACATTAAACCCTGCATTTATAATCTGCACTTTTCTATAATAATAAAAATGAAAAACTTTTTCAGAAAGATTGTGGATTCTTACACTAATTCTGGATAAGTTAAACATTCATGGCATGTGGCAGCATTGCAAGAACACGCATAATAGAAACACAAGAACGACAATGACCAATTCAAAGAAATATATTTCTTTCACTGCAAGGACAATTCAAAAGCTTCACACTCGAATATTAAGCCAGAATTTCATGGAATATTCAATACAGATGGGAACGCAGAAGATTCATTGAGACATACAGAAAAATTATAAATGAAAGACAACTCAGTAAAACAAAGTAAAAGTGACAAGAAGCATAAGTGAACACTGCAATAAATTAAGAGAAATTAGTCTCAACGTCTCTGCTGCAAAACAGAAAGCCGAGTACACCTGTGAGAGCATACTCAGCTAACTGAATCAGCCCATTTCTAATATAATAAAAAATCTATTATCAGTTTGGCTGGCTTTCACAAGAGTGGAAGGCCTTGTGAAAGGTGATACTTAGGATAAGGGGCAGGTGCTATGATTGAGTGACAGCCATGGTCATTTTGTTTCTCTGCTCATCAGGAAGTGAGATTACCGCACTCTCAAATTCCTGGGTGTGATGCTGTGCTAGACCTCTCAGCAGCATGAGCAGGGTGTTTCGTGTTTCTAAAAAGAATAAATAGGAGTAAATACAGACATTATGAATTATGAATGTCATTTGAAATATAAAATAAAAATAATCCAATCAAATAAACACTTGCTCACCATTATCAACATCCTTCACGCCCAACAGATGAGCAGCAGCAGCAGATATTATTGGCCTGAGATGACTAACAACCTGTAGTGAGAAATACAATACAGTCGGTTCATTGGCAGGACACAATTCAATGAGGTGCTGTGAGTGAAAATGAGCTTGTACCAGCAAAGGGTTGTGTGAGTAGAGGAAGGTCAGGCAGCTGTAGATTGTTTTGTTCTCCTCCATGTCCTCCTTCAGAGGGAGACGAGCCACGAGAGCAGGAAAGACCTGAGAGAAAAGGGTCAAATGGGTATTATAATCTGATATTCTTTTGTCATATCAGCCACTGTTAATAGATACAGAGGTTTATAGTATAGATGCTAAGGGCTCTGATATACTTCAGATGAAATCGAAGAATGAAATCTGGCCAAAACTCAGTTTCGAGTTTGTTTTAGAAGTTTGAAACAGTTTACCAAAGTGAACTTTCCAGGAAAAGTTTGCTCCAGCTGATAAACACCTGCAAACCACCATTGGTGCGTGCAGATTATTTAGGCAGGTGTGCTGTTTGACATGGAAAGTTCATTTCTTCTGCTCAGTCCATCAAGATCAGGCATGAGTAAAACATGAACTTTACTAGAAAGGTGTTTTATAGTAGAAACTGAGGTTGTAAAAGCAGCACTGCCATTTTTTTATGTTTAATGCTGTAAATCTGCTTACTTTAAAGCTATCTATTGTATAAAGTGCTGTATAAATAAACAAACATGACGCTACTTGACTGGAGTGCTGAATTAAAGAGTTGCAAACAGATCTATATCACTATGACCAGATGCTTTCTTAACTGCCGTTTTCTCACTGCTGTCATTTTTGCTGAAGTTTATTTTGCTATTAAGAGGAAAGCGTGCAGCATATATTGACCTAAACGCCACTCTCAGCTGCATGATCTGCGTCAGGATGTTCGCTAACACTAACTTCTTAAACTTCTTTCCACCCCAAGCAATGAACGTAAAAATACTGTACATTGGGCCTTGAAAGGAATCTTTCACCCAAAAATGAAAATACTGAAAATGTACTCACCCTCGGGCCATTCAAGACTTGGAGTTTGTTTCTTCATTACTTCGTTACCACAGGATCCTCTGCAGTGAATGGGTGCCGTCAGAATGAGGCAGAACAACTCTAGTAAATCAATTAACGTCACGCAAAGCACGTCTGTGATCAAAACATTTTTCACTTCAAAACAATGCTTCCAGCTAAAATACAAGTCCTCGATCCACAATATTGCTTTCTCCAGTGAAAATTTGTCTCGTCTGAATCAGGAGAGAAATATGCAAAGAGCAAGCACCATTTACAAGTGTACACCATCCAAAAGAGCTCTAAACAAATATGTCGGTGGATATGTTTTGATGTGAGAGGACAACAAGTGATGGACTTTTACACCGGAGGAAGCATTATTATGGATTTTGGTCAGAAGCGAGGGTTTAATTTTAAAATGCCAAAAATCATGGATGTGTGTGTCTTACAAACATGCAGCTTTTCACTTCACAAAATGTTAATTTAGTTGTGGATCACTTGTGGATTGTGATGTTTTTATCAGCTGTTTGGACTCTTCTGACGGCACAGTCTTTAAAGAGACTCACTCACTTACATCATTTACTCACCCTTAAAAGCTGTATGAGTTTCTTTCTTCTGTTGAACACAAAATAAGATATTTTGATGAATGTGGGTAACCAAACAATCCATGAACCCCATTAACTTCCATTGCAAGAAAAAATGCATACCAAGGAAGTCAATGGGGGCCATCAACTCAAAATACCTTCTTTTGTGTGGAACAGAAGAAAAAAATATATAGATTTGCAACAACATGTGAGGGAGTAAATTACAGAATTTTAATTTTTGGGTGAATTCTCTCTTTGAAGGGGTCCTATTATGCTCTTTTACAAAGTCTTGATTTTGTTTTGGGCGTGTACTAGAACAGGCGCTCATACTAGGTTGTTCGAAAAACTATTTTTTTTTCACATATTTTACATTATTACAACACCTCTCTCCCCAGTCTGGCATGAAAGGCTTGAATAGTTCCTGTATCAAATGAAGCCCCGCCTTCTGAAATACGAAATGTGCTGTGATTGGTTAGCTGGGCCAGTGTGTGTTGTGATTGGCAGCACTCGGCGCCTGGTCTGGAAATGTCACGCCCCTTACCATAGCCGCCTGCGAGCTTCAGTGTAAATATTGCGTCAAATTCAAATAAATTTGAGCGCGATTTAAACCCGGATGATTGTAACCACTCTAAGTTCGTCTGTCTTGGGAAAGCTAGCGTGTCTCCGACATAGTGATAACACTCGTTGCCTTCTCTAGTGCAACTCAACCAGGTCTCGTCCCAGTCGGCGGTATTTGTGATATCACAAATCCCGGAAAATATGCGTTGTAGTCCAAACGAGCCGTTCGTTGTAGTTTATGAAAAGTGATTTCTGTTAAATAAAATATCTCCTTTTGAAGTGGACTTTGAGCTTTGTAACTTCGCAGATCTTTTTTATGCTCAAACAGCAACATTACAGACTAACTAAAGTTGAAAAAGTGAAAAAGCATAAAAGGACCCCTTTAAACTGCCCTTTACACCCTTTTCCTATTTTTATTTATTTTTTTGGTTCTGACAACACAAAATGACTTTATTTAAAAATGATGACATCTCAGCTGGTCCAGACAAAAACTTTACAAGGAACTTACAGCTTTTATGATGTTATATCTGGTTCATTTTAGGGCTTGATACTAAAACGGCTCTTAAAATTAATTCCTGACCTTTTTCTTCAGTACATCTTTGATGGTGTTACTTATTTCGGCCAGTATCCCTGGAGCCTGCAGCGCCTCCCCCTGGCAGGATTTGATGACAGCATTCATGGACTCCAGTATGGCCATCACCACCTGTCTCTCTCGGTCCTGTCTCACCGCCTCCAGAAAACAAGGCAAAACCACCTGCAACAGCTTATGCAGAGCTGGAGAGATATAAAGAGAAATATGCAGGAGTTGATTGAAGAATTCAGGGTAATTAAAAAAAACACAAGTCCTTTCATCTTTACACTGATTGCAGCTCATTTAACTAAAGAAGTCTGCCCTTTACACCCTTTTCCTATTTTTATTTATTTTTTTGGTTCTGACAACACAAAATGACTTTATTTAAAAATGATGACATCTCAGCTGGTCCAGACAAAAACTTTACAAGGAACTTACAGCTTTTATGATGTTATATCTGGTTAATTTTAGGGCTTGATACTAAAACGGCTCTTAAAATTAATTCCTGACCTTTTTCTTCAGTACATCTTTGATGGTGTTACTTATTTCGGCCAGTATCCCTGGAGCCTGCAGCGCCTCCCCCTGGCAGGATTTGATGACAGCATTCATGGACTCCAGTATGGCCATCACCACCTGTCTCTCTCTGTCCTGTCTCACCGCCTCCAGAAAACAAGGCAAAACCACCTGCAACAGCTTATGCAGAGCTGGAGAGATATAAAGAGAAATATGCAGGAGTTGATTGAAGAATTCAGGGTAATTAAAAAAAACACAAGTCCTTTCATCTTTACACTGATTGCAGCTCATTTAACTAAAGAAGTGGGTGGAAAGAAAACCATAGGGAGTGAGTGAATGAATGAATGAATGACTGACAGGTGCTGTGAGGCACTCTGCATCAATGAAGGCAGAGTTAAAAGTTAATCTTCTTGTCAAATGAAGCTCCTCTTAATTCTTTCTGGAGACATCAATAATGAGACAGAATAGATAAAAGGAAGTAGAGAGTGATGTGAATATAAAAGAGTGCAAGTGAAAATCCAGAGAGCTGTAGATATGTACTAGTGGTGGGCGTTTTGAGCAAAGCCTTGTAATGATAACGGTATATTTATCCCAAAATAGTTATTTGGTTCTGGAAATTCAACCCCTATACGTTTCATAAATTAAACTACATGGTTATGCAAATAACCTAATTATTGCATCTCATTTGATTTTTTTTTGGAACTTGATTGACAATCAATGTTGTATCAGAATACAACAGAAAGAGCATTCAATTTAAGTGAGAAAAAAAAAATCTTACTAACCCCAGATTTCTGAGCAGTATTGTATAACTTTTAATTAAAATTAAAAGAACACAAGATTTAGATTCTTAAACATTTAGTGATATTAACATTAACACTTATTTGATTCATTGATTGTTAATTTCTAAATCATAATTAGTTATTTATGAAAATTCCTGAAAAATCGACATTTCTAGCTCCAGTTATAATTAATTAATACTAAAAACCCACATGTACAACAGTTAGAAGTGTAGACTATAGTTTTAGCTTCACTGAGGTATAAACAGTACAGCAGAATCTCTACTAGCTGACACATTGCTACTATCACATGCTATGTTGTCATACCGCCCAGACCTATTGTGTACATTTGGTGTGAATGTACCCTGGTGGTTGGCCTCCGTTGGGTTTTCCTTCCACACTTTGTGCTGAGCTCGGCAGAACTGGCCCATGGCACCAAAGGCAGCTCTTCTCACATCCTCATGTGGGAACTAATGGATCCACATTCACAAAAACAGCACAAACATCAGTAACACATCAGCATAACAAACAAGCACTCATGAAACCACACACTGCACCAGTCACTCACATCGCGGAGCTCATACACCTGCTGGAAGCTGGACTCCAGGAAGGGCTGGAACGCCACTCTGGCAGACATAAAAAGAAGACAAAAACCAGCTAGATTTTAAAGACTGTGTGTTTTGCCACACGGGTTGGGGAAAACAATATTAACAAATAATACTAAAAACTCCTTCAATGTCGAGCCCAACATTATATCCTCAAATACACTGTTATGGAATTGTAGTTTGTTATGAATGCTTTCTTTAATGCAGTCAAACCAGACAACCATTAGGCCTCGAACCATTAGGGCAGTCGTGGCCTGGTTGAAGAGTCGGACTTGTAGCCCAAAGGTCATGGGTTCAAGTCTCAGTACCGGCAGGAATTGTAGGTGGGGGGAGTGAACGACCAGTGCTCTCTTCCACCCTAAATGCCCTTGAGGCACCGAACTGCTCCCTGGGTGCCACAGCAAATGGCTGCCCACTGCTCCGGGTGTGTGTTCATGGTGTGTGTGTGTGTGTGTTCACTACTCACTACTGATTGTGTGCACTTAGATGGGTTAAATGCAGAGCAGTATTAACTTAAATGCAGAGTATGGGTTACTTGGCCACGTCACGTCACTTCAAGAGAAACTGAGCTTTACATCACTGTTTAAAAGTTTGGGGTCTGTAAGATTTTTAAAATATTTTTGAAAGAATTCTCTTAGGCTGCATTTATTTGATAAGAAATACAGCAAAAACAGTAATATTATGAAATATTATTACGAATTAAAATAACTGTTTTCTATTTTATATTACTTTAAAATGATGTTTATTTTACATTAAAAATATATTCTTGTGATGGGAAAGCTGAATTTTCAGCAGCCATTACCTCCAGTCTTCAGTGTCACGTGATCCTTCAGAAATCATTATAACATGCTGATTTGGTGCTCAAGAAATATTTCTTATTATCAATGTTGAAAACAATTGTCCTGCTTAAAATTCTTGTGGAAACCACTCAACATTTTTTCAAGATTCTTCGATGAATAAGAAGTTCAAAAGACTGTCATTTATTTGAAAACAGAAATATTTTGCAACACTATAAATGTCTTTTTTGATCAATTTAATGCATCGCCCCCGGATAAAAAAAGTATGAATTTTTTTGAGAAAAAATAAATAAATAAATAAAAATACAAAAATTTACTGACCCCAGACTTTTGGACAGTAGAGCATCTACACCTAACGTAAGCTTCTAGTTTGTACATGCAAATGCATGAGTGTTTGTGCAGTATGTAATACATGGCTCATTACCCCGTGTTGAAGGCGATTTCACCCAAAGCATCTTCTTTCTCATCTATACAAGCATTTTCCACACTGAATCTGAGAGAATGGACAGAATCCTGATTAGTGCTCTTACATAAGAGAAAACTAAACAGACAGGATGAAAGAGAGAGACAGACATACCCTGCAACATCTCTGTCATCAACCTCAGTCTCTCCCTCTTCATCGAAAACAGCATCGCCCTCTCCACCTTCATCATCAGCATCATCTTCATCCAGGAGCACAAATTGTTTATCTTCCTCTAAATGAGCCTGTGAAGTAAACAAGAACATTACAATACTTGAAATGTTTGATGGCGTACAGATGATCCGAGAGGAAAGTCCTCACTGACCGTCACACCCTCTGTGGATCTGAGTGACAGCAGCATCACTGTGGTGATGGGAGTGAGTTGAGGGTCCAGGCAGTCAGGACTCACATCAGATACAGCAGAGAATAAGATATACCTGGAATGAGAGCGAGATTCTGAATGCAATCTGCTTAAAATTCAGCCTCAATATTTAAAACCTTTATGCATCAGTATGCAGGTAAGCTATTTTAATAGGGAAAGACCAAAACTTCAAGTTTATCAAGATTTCAATAAAATATTGCAAATCATAAATAAATAAATAAATGATAGTAATCTGACAACACAAGTATCAATTTAAACTAAAATCATGTTTAAATAAAAAAATAAATAATAAAAAACCACTTAAAACAAACAAACAAACAAAAAATAAATACAAATAAAAACTAACTATAAATAAGGAAGTACACAGATCAATATATAATAAAAACTATGTTTGGTCCATGCATAATTTAAACTCAAATCATGCTTTAAGAAAACTAATGAAACCCAAATAAAAATATAAAAGAAATAAAAACTAAAAATAAGTATTGGTAATCCGTTGTCTGTGATCTTAATCCCGTGCGAATCGGTCATGTCTGTAATTTGTAAAGTAAAAATTCCCCCGCAAATAACCTACCATATTTCGCCGAACACCGAGGTCCTGTGATAATATTAGTCCCGTGCGAATCGGCATCTCTGTGATTCGGCCAGCATTTGGCGGGTCAAATGGCAGGTTTTTGTTTGCTGTGCGCCTTTTTATCCATCTTCCGCGAAGAATGGAGCTGCGTTGGGAGTGTTTGATAGTATTCTGGGTGCTGTCATCATATCGCTACACCATACAATTTGCAGAAAGAGAAAGCCGAGCAGGTTTTGAGGTTAATGTGTTACAAATAAATCAAGCATAAAGCTTGAGATATTATTTTAACCTTTTAATTCCTAGCACCTGTCGCTTACTGATTGTTTGGAATTATAAATATGAGCGTAGTTCGTCTGTTAATATCACATGCACTTTTTTGTTTGTTGTGTTTTTTTTTAGTCACTCAGATGCAGGCAGTGCTGCTGCATGAGACAAAAAAGTAATCTAGCCAAAACAACCGCATAGCCGCTCTTTAGTGTAGATGCATGTTGATTTTATCAGACGATGCCGTGATTATAAATGAGAGTGACTCCTGGTTAACATGTATTAAAAGGGGTCGTGTTTAGTCACTATTTAGTGTGGTATTTTTTGACAATATTCACTCATCATGACAGTAAAATAGGGTATTCTAAGTCAATATACTGCAGTATTTCCTCTCTCAATCAGTAGAAAATATGGTTAACACCCGGTCATGCATGAAAAAAAAAAGTCTTGTACCGTGAAACCAGTATAATTTTGAAAAATACCATGATATAAATTTTTAGTCATACCGCCCAGCACTACGTAGAACTTCCATTTCATACAGCCAACAAATTAAGTGTTACATTTTTTCCATTACTCTTTCCTAGCTATTCAGTCTCCCTCCCTTTTATACCATCTCTGCATATGTATATGTAAGGTCATACGTGCAGCGCCGCAGGTCTGGATCATCCACTGCATCAGTGAGGTTCAAACCTAACTGCACACACTCCGCTGCCAACGGACTAAACATTTCCTTCCCAACAGTACGGGCCAACACAGAGAGTGTGTCTATGAGCGAGATACAGAGAAAGACAAATGATTAGATTAGGTTAGGCTGCGTGCCTACACATGATGCATGACTAAGTGTGGAATGATGTTGGATCATTATTTTTACCTAGAGCCTGTGTCTGCAGAGCCCTCATCTCTTCTCTTGTGTCTGTCAGGAATCCCTTCAGACTCTCAATAATTGGAGGAAAGTAAGGCACTAGCATCTCCTTGGCTGCGTTAGCTGAGAAAGAGAGAGATATCATAAGTCTGAGCATAACTATAACATTAAAAAATGCTGTGCTTAATGGAAGGAGGATGTTACCGATTGCTCCGATTGCACTGACAGCAAGTTCTTTCAGTTTAAGGTTTTCTGCATTGTTAAGGGCTGACAACATGGTTTCCATTAGAGTGGGCAGATAAGGCTCAATTTCTTGACCTGATCATGAAAAGAGTGCAGTGTTATTTTAGTATCATTATTATACATAAATATTAAACCAAATAAATATAGCCAATTACATTGATAAAGCATTAGGTTTATCATAAAAAGGTACAAAGGTACACATTAATAGTGTCTGCATGCTAACCTAAGTTCTCTAAGAAGTTCTCCAAGGCATAGAAGGCCTTCGTCATGTGGACAATTTTGGTCTGATTCACTGAAGACAAGTATCCATGCAACAACGACCTCAGCTCAGCATGGAATTTACTGATGTCTGGCTATTAGAGACAAATCAACCAATTTTAAACTCAAATCAAGCTAATGAATAATCATAAAAGGCATCAAATATTACAGTATTGACATTTCAATCTGACCTGGAGGTGTTCAGAAAACTGTCCGAGGGCAAAGAGCGCTGCACTACGGACCACCTGGTTCTTGTCCGACAGACTGCGACACACTGTTTGAAGCATGGATGACAACATCCTAACACAAAAACACCAATTTAAAGCACTGAGCAGCACTTTTTTCATGCATGTGGAAATTGTGTGTTATGAATATGGGTAGAAATCTATGCATTGTAGAATAAAACTTACTTGGTGCGGATGTGATCTGCACAGCCTTCGGCGAGCACAGCCATACACATGAGACCTCCTTTACGCTCATATGATTTTAGTATCATTATTATACAATTACAGTTTTCCTAATATTTAGAATTTTTATATTTTTCATTAAAAATATATACAATTTTATATTAGATTTTATTTTTTTATATTTCTTTCTTTCTTTTTTTATTGTTATTTTTTTATTTTGTTCATTTCAATTTAGTTAAAGTTTTTATTGTTATTTTTTTATTTTGTTCATTTCAATTTAGTTAAAGTTTAATTAATTCAGTTGTTTTGCCATTTGTATATTTTTTTAGTTTATTTAATTGGAGTTATTCTAGCCCTTAAACTAACATTTCTCATATTTGTCTAATTGTTTTAATTTGGTTTATTTTAGTTTAAGTTAAAAAAAGAATAGCCATATATATATATATATATATATATATATATATATATACACATAAAATAATAATTTATAATTGTATTATTATTATTATAAATAAATATTAAACCAAATAAATATAGCCAATTACATTGATAAAGCATTAGGTTTATCATAAAAAGGTACACATTAATAGTGTCTGCATGCTAACCTAAGTTCTCTAAGAAGTTCTCCAAGGCGTAGAAGGCCTTCTTCATGTGGACAATTTTGGTCTGATTCACTGAAGACAAGTATCCATGCAACAACGGCATCAGCTCAGCATGGAATTTACTGATGTCTGGCTATTAGAGACAAATTTAAAAAATCCAAAATAAAAGCAGATAAAACAAAAGGTGAAATTTTGAAAACTTAAATATTTACTTAGACAAGTGTTTTAAATATGAACATGCACATTTCATTAATAGAGTTTTGTGCTTTAGACAGGGTTCCCACTCTTTCATGAACACCAGATTCAAGGATTTTTTAAAGCACCATTTATTTTATATCAAATTCACACCCCAGAATTCTTTTGCAGTTAACATTTGTCTTTTCTTCTTCACTTGTTTTTTTCTGACCCCGCTGTCCCAGTGAGCATTTTGCTGACCAATTGCAGCAAATTGTATTGCATTCTTTTTTAAGCTTTTTAAAATTTCTATTTAAAAATATAATAAGTAGAATACGACAAATAAGTTACCAATCATGTCAAATTTAAAAATGTATGTTTATAAGCTTTTTCAAATTTCTATTTAAAACAATATAATAAGCAGAATAAGACGAATAAGTTACCAACCATCTCCACCCCCAATCATTAGTGCCGCTTGTTCGGTCTTTGACAGAACATAGGACAATTTTTTAAATAGCGCCATAAACAATTTATTTCAAATGGAATTCAAGCACTTTCAAGGACCTATGTTTGTTTTCAAGTACTTTCCAGGCCTTGAATCCATATGTCTGAAATTCAAGTACTTTCAAGAAGCATGGGAACCCTGTTTAGAAGGAAAAGCAAAGGCAAGGAAAGACAGTTACCTTGCTTTTAAGTTTGATGAGAACAGCGATACATGACAGAGCCTTTACGCGCAGAGAATCACTAAGGGAGACATCCGCACTGATCTAGAAGAAACAAAATAAACTTTATTAGACAATACCTCCAAATCAACAATCACTATTTAGATGTGTAGACAAACCTCCAGGCAAAATCGGACGATTGTTGTGGGACAACAATGGACACCTCACTTTCCATCAGCTCATCTAAAACTTCCATCGCCTCACTGGCTTGGTCCTTACAAGAAATTCAAAGCCACTTTAAAACCACTGGCACATAATGAAATCCCTGATTAGAGCATTAGCATACGAACACAGCAAGGCTGTATCAAAGTGTCCTCACCTGGTCTGCCTGAATGAGGTGTTTAAGAGCAATGAGCAGTTTGGGGATCAGAGATCGCATCAGGTTCTGAAAGAAAGAAAAACAAAATTTTGAACATGCTGGCTGTGAAATTAAACACATAACTTTTTATGCTTTTTATTTAAAATGCTTGCTGTTCTCTCCATTTTTGTTGTATTTATTTTGTTACCGAGAGGAAAGTGAACAGCACTTTGTGTGCTTTCCACGTATTCCCAACTTCTGAGCCTGCTCACCTGAATGCACCGGATGCCGTGCGCGTGCCCAAAGACAGTTGGACATAGTGGTGCATTAGAGGTAAAAATGATATAAATACTGTTCGGTTTCTGGCACAAACCGATAGTTTCGTGTGTTAGGACATCAATGTGTCGTCACGAGCCGCAGGGTTTAATTTGGATTTGTCTGCGCATGTTTTTTTTTTGCTCTCATAGATTTTGTTACCATTGCCATGCATTATACGACCGATAGACTGCAACGGCTGGAGTTAAAAATCATCAAATGTGTTCTACTGCAGAAACAAAGTCACCTACATCTTGGACACCCTGGGGGTACGCAGATAAACATCACATTTTCATTTTTGGGTGAACTATCCCTTTAAATTTAGGACTATGAAAACTAACATAAAGGCTGAAATTAATGACAGTAAGTTACCTGTGGGTTCTGGGATCCAGTCATAACCGCACATAAAGCAGGGATGATAGCTGGATCTTTAAATGTCTGTTTCAGCTCAGCTGTGGCCTGATAAGGGACATTACATAACATAAATTTAATCATGTGCGTAGAAATTATGAAAAGATAATCAAACAAATACTTGACACAAAAGGTCCACGAATAACGCTAATGCTCGCCAGAACTTTAAAAGACAAGCATTAATTACACTTTTCTTTACAGCTAACGTATAACTGATAACGTCCTCTTACTCACATAATCAATATTAAATGCATCAAATATACCAGGATGACAGTTTCATATAAGTATCTCTAACGCTACCTGCTGAATAACGGCGTTGTCCGGTTCTGTCAGCCGGGCCAGGATGCGCTCCAGCTCTTCTGACATGATTTTCACCGTTTAACGTTAAACCGTTATTTATTCAAAATGATCAAATAAACTACACCGGCCAGGAGACCAAAGCTGATGACAGGCAACTGACAGCATTTAGACAAGATTTGGATCAAATGAAACATAAATAAACTGTCATGGGGAAATATTCTTCATATGCACGACTTCCTAAAGTTCCCACGCGGGATGGAAGTAGAAAACGCCGCATGAGTTGGATGTTAAAGGGACCACAGCCCAATAAATAAGAACATGTGATGCAGAGAGACGATATGAGCGCTACTATAACAACGTTCTCTCGCAAATATATTTTGCGTTCCCTCGCAAAACTTTTGCGTTCTCTCGCAAAAGATATTTGCGTTTTGCGAGGGAACGCAAAGTTTCTCGAGAGAACGCAAAAGTTTTGCGAGGGAACGCAAAGTTTCTCGAGGGAACGCAAAAGTTTTGCGAGAGAACGCAAAAAATCTGACAAATATTTTTTCCTCCCACCCCAAATGTTTTCACTCAATCTGAATTTTTTTTCCACCACCGTGTCCCTTTAGGGGCTCCGTAGAGAAGTCTCTAAAGTTGTTCGTATTTGGTTTCTGTTGGTTTTGACAACTTTTTTGTGACACTTTTTTAAGTGTCACATTAAACAGAAAAGCAAGCAGGTGCATGATTTGGCATGGCAGCCAATACAAAAAAATAATAACATAATAATAATAATAATAATAATAACTTAATGGAACAACTTGTAAGTAAATCAAAACAACTGTGAAAATTTCTTATTTGCTTTTTGAGTGTTGTAAGGATATCATGATAAAGGAATGTTTGCATTTTTGGGAAACGCTGTTTTTACACAGCGCTGTAAAGCGCGACATTTCCCTAGTGCTTTTGAATGTGCATTTTGAATGCTATTTTAGCGTCACTCCTTATAGTATAATGTTAACGTCAGCCGGCATTTTTTCAGTAAACGCAGTCCTAACGTACGTTTTGAATGTCGCTTCTTGCTCTCCCAGTGTATGTGCGTGAGGAGAACTGTTCTTCAGGACATGAAATGTAAGAATTAAGTGCATTAATAATAGATCTGAAATAGAGTGGGGGAACTATGACGTCAGAACCAGGAAGCGTAATTCACCGCAGGTTCCTTTGAGATTTTCCTATGGGGTTTTTTTAATGGGGTTTTTCAATTTATTAATAAAATAAAGCCTGTGTTAAACATAACTTGACGATACTTCTACTTTTGTTCTACAATGTAAACTGCACACACTCACAGCCTAAACCTTCTTATTTATTAAAAACATAAGTTTTCAAAAATGAATATAACTGCTTCAAAATTTTTATTTTGGGTATGGATGTGTGTAATTTACGTTGTACAACTAAACGTAAAAGTATCATCAAGTTATGTTTACCACAGGCTTTATTTTAATTTAAAAACTCCATTATAAAACCCCATAGGAAAATCTAGAAGGAACCCACGGTGAATTACTCTTCCGGGTTCTGACGTTATAGTTCCCCCACTCTATTGGCAGTAAATCTAAATGTCTACTTTTAGTCTCTGAAGTTAAAGTTTTACCCTCTGTGCTTATTCCAGGAAGAATTGGGTGAGCCAGACATCACTGACACAAACACCTCTCCTGCTGATTTTGGGCAACGAAACCACTACAAGTCCTGCAAGCACTGCAGTTGTGATGAGATGATATTCCAGTGTTTGACATTCAGAAATGCACAGTTCATGCGGTTTAAAAAAGGCTGAATAAAAAATCCTCAATTGTATAGATTTTTTTTTTAGTTAGTATCTGTATTTAATAAAGCACTACTGCATTAAAATAATTGCTAAATGAAAAACATTACGTATGATCAACAATAATTAAGTACACTGCACTTAAACATTAAGCTTTTTAGTTTGACTTAATTGTTATTTATGATTAATGTTAACTTAAAAAATTTTAGTTGCTTAATTAAATTTTTTTGAGGTAATCGGTGTCCACAAAAATGTAGTATTCTGAACTTATCGGGTTTTACAGTGTGGACTGTTGCCCAGTGGTCCAAAGTGCTCTTTTCAGATGAGAGCAAGTTTTTTATTTCATTTGGAAACCAAGGTCCTAGAGTCTGGAGGAAGGGTGGAGAAGCTCATAGCCCAAGTTTCTTGAAGTCCAGTGTTAAGTTTCCACAGTCTGTGATGATTTGGGGTGCAATGTCATCTGCTGGTGTTGGTCCATTGTTTTTTGAAAACCAACGTCACTGCACCCATTTACCAAGAAATTTTGGAGCACTTCATGCTTCCTTCTGCTGACCAGCTTTTTGAAGATGCTGATTTCATTTTCCAGCAGGATTTGGCACCTGCCCACACTGCCAAAAGCACCAAAAG